CTGTTCACCTGTTGCCGAGAGCCTTGTGGGCATTAGCCATTTATGTTCACCACGCTGGTGAGGTCAGTACTGTCTCCACCGTTGGTGAGAAAGCGGAGGCCAAGGGACCTTAATTAACTTGCCCCCTGTCCTCCAGCTGGGACCGAGTTGTGGAACAAGAATTCACAGCCAGGCCTTCCAACCCCAACACGTGTGAAGTTTGTTCAAAGACCTTTAATAACAATTGAATGTAAAGGACTCTTGAGCTCTTTTTTTTTCCCCCACTTATTTCAAACTATTTTAAACACACAATTAAAATGCACAGATCTTGGATGTTGAGGTTGATGAATTTTGACAGTTGTATACATCTGTATAACCACCATCCAAAACAAGATACAGAACATTTCACTCATCCCAGAAAATTCCTTTATGCTTCTTTCCTGTCAGTTCCCTCCCTGACCCCCAGGGAACACATTCTGATTTCTATCTCCGTGGATTGGTCTGCCTGTTCTAAATTCCATATAGATGGAGTATGCGTTCTGTTGTGTCTGGCTCCTCTCCCTCAGCATCTTATGGCCATTCATCCATGTTATTGTGTGTATCAATAATTCAAAGCACTATTTAGCTCGGATCCCCTGAGAAGCAGGTAAGTACCATGTTGGTAATACATTTGAAAGTATCGACAGGCTGTTCTCTTTTGGCTCTTTGAGAACCTAGCCTTCTCTCTAGCCCGCCTGAAGCATCCACTTGCCTGAAAGTAGACTATCAACTGCTGAAGAAAAACCAAGAGAAAGACCAAGATAACAAAAGAGTTTCTTCACGTAGTGGCTGTGGTATTAACTTTTCAACATAAAATCACAGTTTTGGACAATGGCTTCTTTCCTCCCCTCCCGTATAATCACCTTTTATCCAAAAACACACTAAATAAATATGTTAGAAGCAGAGCTATCTTGACACCCAGACAGGCAGAAACACACTCAGCAATTTAGTTGACACAACCATGTCTTGTCAAACAGTACCATGTGAAACAGACTTGAATTGCGTGCCATGTCTGCATGAACCCAGCTTGCTTCCCACTGTAAACCAGGCAAGAAAGGCGGACATGTAGGGTTCCCTACAACTTCAGCTCATCGTACCCTTGTTCTGTTCCCACATTTCCAAGAACTTGGGCTCAATCCTTTATTTTTTCCTAACGTTTATCTGTATATACCTTAAGTGCAGCATGAGAGCAAAATAATTATGAGCCTAAAGGTTGAAAACTTAAAAAAAACATGAAGAAAGAAGAAGGAACCCTCCCTCCCAGCCCTCGTCCATCACTCACTCTTGCACCTTAGGTGAGTTCAAAAAAGACCTCTGAAATGTTACATTTTATGTATAAACTAGATTTATGTACCCTCCAGGTGGTGGTTATTCCTTGTATAAACTTGTTTTCATTATTCGATTGGTAAAGTCCTCTATCTGTGAACATTATGGAGGTGTCTTGGGTTGGGAGAAAAATACATCATAATTTTTTCCCACTACAATTCAGGAGGAAAAAAAAGTTTTCATTAGATGATTCATCCTTTAGTAGCAAAATTTTCAGGAATGAATTAGTTGGTGAAACAGGGATAGGGTTTAGACTTTTGAAATCAAAACTAGGGGCTTTCAGGGGATCCCTGGGTGGCTTATCCCTTTAGTGCCTGCCTTTGGCCCAGGGTGCCATCCTGGAGTCCTGGGATCAAGTCCCACGTCGGGCTCCCAGCATGGAGCCTGCCTCTTCCTCTGCCTGTGTCTCTGCCTCTCTCTGCCTCTCTCTCTCTCTCTCTCTCTCTCTCTCTCTCTCATAAAAAAATAAATAAATAAATAAATAAATAAATAAATAAATCTTTTTTTAAAAAAACAAAACTAGGGGCTTTCAGCAAGGCAACAGTCTTGAATTGTCTCCATCCCTTTATCACTCCTGTGGTGTATCCGTGGGTGGAGATTTACATAAAAGCAATCCAGACAGAAAGGGGAAGTGGATGAACAGCTGGCCCCTCCACCAGCCCAGAAGTGGGAAGGAAACAGAGAAGACAAAGATGTACAAAAACGGCGATTTCCTCTCACAGGCTTTTGTTCAGAAAAGTGACCATGACTCCAGGCAGAGGAGCCAAGCTGGGCCTCACTCTGGTGGGAAAAAACCAGGCAAGGCCAGAATCAAGGAGGCCCTGGTAGTCAGCCTCCCCAAGTAACCCTCAGATGCCGTAGCTGGAGCCCCTGGGCCTGGCTAGAACCCGTGGTGGCCAGACCAAAGAGGTTGCTGCCCCCAGCAGGGCCACTCTGGACCCCATCGGTTCAGGACACTCAGCCACAGTGGCAACAGACCTCAGAGGACATTTCCTCAGAGACCCAGAAGGGAATGGCCTCACCCTGAGGACCCTGACTCTGGGCTAAGCCCCCAGATGCTCCTCAAAGAGCTGCAATCTTGCTGGGCCCTTCCTTTCCCAGCCCCCAATCAAAGCCCCTTGAAGCCCTGAGGACAACCAACCTCACACAGAACCTGCCAGACTCTGACCCTACTAGGGCAGGGCAAAGGGGAGTGAAAGAGTGAGGGAATGTGACAGCCAAGGACAGGTTTGGAAACCCTACAGTACAGGTGACCCAGGCTCTTGGAGAGAGAGATGGGGCAGGGGATACTATAAATTAAAAGTGGCTGAGGAAACAAATCCAATGCATAGACCTTATTTGGATTCTCATTTTAAACAATCTGTAACAAAAAATTTCTTAGGGAAATTTTATGATTTAAGGAATCATTTGTTGTCTTTGTTGTTATTATACCAAAGAATTTGCCTTTTTTTTTTTCTTTTTTGAGAATCCTCAGCGATACATCCTGCTGAAACGTTTATGGACTAAGTCTGGGATGTGCAGCAAAATGATCCAATGGACAGGAGTTGACAGAGGAGATGGCACTCCCCTGGCCGTGCGCTCATGTTGCCGAACCTGGGCGCCTGGGACACAAGGGTTCACTGTACTGTTTTGTCTACTTTTGAATATGTTTGAGGTTTTCTGTAATAAAATGTTAAAGGGAGGCAGGAAAGGGGTGGGGAGAGGATGGAGGCCCGAAAGTGGGAGAGATGTCATTACGACTGGGGAAGCGAGGCAGGCCCAGAGGGAGCCCCTATCTGCTGGGCGGGATCCTGAGCACATGGGAGGGAGCAGGACCGGCTTTTAGGAAGCGGGGAGAGCCAGGCACGCGGGAGGCCGGGAGCCGGGGGTGGAAACAGCTCTGGGTCTCTAGGACTGGGTTGGTTGCGGGAGCCGCCTGCGTGCAGGCCGAGGTTTGGAGCTGGGCACTGAGCTCGCCAGCGACACGGGGATGGGCAGTGCTGTCCCTTGTCTGGCCCTTTCCCTGCGCGGTCGTGCGACAGTGTGGCCTCAATCTGCTGGCGCCCCCAGAGCAAAACATGGAGCCAAAGAAATAAAACAGAGACAAAGATTTACCAAGCCCGAGGAAAATTAGGTAAGACTACCAAGGATTCCTGGCTGTGGTGGGGGAGACCTGTGGGGCCGGGCAGGAGGGAGGGGAGCGGGAACAGCAGAAAGCTGGAGAAAGCTGGAGAAAGGTGGTTCACTGTGCTCTGGGCCAAGAAGCCAGGGCTGAGCGGACCTCCGCTCCCTGCCGCTCCCTGCCGTGGAAGCCCGGAGCCTCGAACTCCGGCTGCGCTGTTGAAAACTCCCGAGTGGAAACCTTACATCTGGATCTGTTGAAAGTCTGACCAGCGGTTGCCCTGTTTGGGTTTCTCCTATTTATAGATTTAGGATTCATTCACTGTTTCTATTAGAACCGAATATTAACGTTAATGATGATGATATTCACAAATACATGAATCATTTGGGCTCCTTGGAGTGTTTGAAATAGCAAGCTAATGGAGAAGAAGAAACTAGGGGAGAAATTGTTTTTCCACCTACATTTGACACAGCCTGAAAACCTACAGCTCAAGAACTCGAGACTGACAGAGGGAGAAAATATGGGAAACACCTCCCCTCCAGGGACATCACAGAGGCATTCACTAAGCACACAGGAAAGACTTTTTGCTTTGAGTTCCACAAATAATGTTTGAGTATCTACTATTGGCAAAGTAAATTTTGCTTCCCTTTGATTCCAGTGTCCCAGTGGATTTTCTTTCTGACATTTGAGAGAAAGTGACATTTCCCTTAACCTTTGACTTGAAGAGGTGAAGACACAGCTTTCTCTGCATCTAGGACCTCACTAACCATGACAGCTCTTGGGGATCCAGGGCCCGGGGTGTAACAGCCTCTACTAGCTCGGTCCTCTGTGGATTTGAAAGTGCAGGGCCCCACGCCACTGCCTAAGAGAGAGTCCTCAACAGGTTTTGGATCCCAACAAAGCTTCCCCACTGGTGTGGCTTTGGGGTGGTTACTTAATGTCTATGAGTTTATGAGAATTAAATGAGAAAATTTAGGGTAAACATTTAGCCCAGTGTGGGGCTCCTGCTGAGTGCTGAGTAAATGAGATCTACTGTTATTATTAGCATTCATTGTTATTCTTGCTAGCATTATTATTTTATGGGCAGAACGAATGAGCTGGCAACAAGAATACAAACTTTTGCCAGAATTTGACAAGGACAAAATAAAAGCAGACCCAGCCACCCCATGAAGGAGCCTGTGCTTGACAGGCCTTAAGAATTCATTGTATGGGGTGCCTGGGTGGCTCAGTGGTTGAGCATCTGCCTTTGGCTCAGGTCATGATCCCAGGGTCCTGGGATCCAGTCCCACATGGGGCTCCCTGCAGGGAGCCTGCTTCTCCCTCTGCCTGTGTCTCTGCCTCTCTCTCTCTCTCTCTCTCTCTCTCTCTCTCTCTCTCTCTCTCTGTGTGTGTGTGTGTGTGTGTGTGTGTCTCATGAATAAATAAATCTTAAAAAAACAACAACAGAACAATTCATTCTACGGTTCCCCTCTCTGCCCCTGTACGTGGCTTTTAGATAAAGCTGCTTGGAAGCCAGGAGCTCCCTGCTGTGCCTAGATGGAGGCACAACCTCCAACCTCGCCACCGCTGATGGACAGTCCGCAGTATACAAACCAGCCAGACTAGGTGTTTTTCCTTCCCGGGCTGGCCAAGGCGGGCCTGGCTGAGTCCTGTTGAGGAAAGAGCCGGTCTTGCGCTGGAGAAGGGGGAGCTGGTTTCCAGGACAAGCAAGTGAGTGTGAAAGTCTCTGCCAGGGTGGGGAAGGAGCAACCTCTGTAGGTTTGTCACATGCGGCCAATTTTATAACCTATAAAGGAGAATCTGATGGTTTTACTTCACGGAGGAAGGCAAATCAGAGCAAATGAATTGGGGTTGGAGAGGGTCAGAAGGAGGTGCAGCTGGATCCAGAAGAAAAGAATCTGCCCCTCCCCCTATCCCAGGTGTGCCCAAAGCCAGTGTGGGCGTTAATGCTGCTGCTAATCTCCAGGTGTGGCTGCTGCAAAGTAGCAGGGAGTCCGAGGCGTTCAGGAAGGGGTTGGGAGTCTGCGTGGAACAGAAGGGGTCCCCCTCACCGGGGCAGAGGAGACTCCTGTGTCCCTCAGGCAACAGACATCGCTGGGCTTATTTCAGAACAGCCCAGCCCCAAAGGAATGCGTGGGCAGAGCCAGCTCCAAGCTGGGGATTGCTCAGAGAATATTCCAGGGCCCTAAACCCTCAGAGCCAGAGGGAAAGGTAAGGAGAACCCCGTCTTTCTGTTTCAAAGTGTCTTAGGATGGTGATTGAGCAGCTCGGTGGTTGAGCGTCTGGTTTCACCTCAGGTCATGATCCCGGGTCCTGGGATCGAGTCCCGTGTCGGGCTCCCTGTGTGGAGCCTGCTTCTCCCTCTGCCTGTGTCTCTGCCTCTCTCTCTATGTCTCTCATGAATAAATAAATAAAACCTTTTAAAAAAAAAAAAGGCCATGTTTCCAATAATTTGGTTCTGTTTTAAAAAAAAAAAAGAGAGAGAGAGAAGGAGAAAAGCCTGAACACAATTCATGCCGGTAAAACGGGCTCACACTTAGCTTGTTTTACAAGTGCATAAATATGACTTCTCAAGCAGAAATGTAGAATCAAAAAATAAATAAATGACCGCTCCAGGCGGCGGGCTGGGGGGAGGGAGCGGTCCAGGTAGGAGCAGCGGCTGTGACTGCCGGCCCGGCCCTCGGCCCTGGCGGCTCCTCCGCCCCGCGCGGGCTCTGACAGCCGTTCCCCTCCTTCCCGCGGAGCGAATGGACTTCATCTCGAGCTCTCGCAAATGAAAAGAAACGGGGCTGTAACCCTTTTATGGAGTGAGTGAAAAATGTTTTGTGTAGGGTAAGTTGAGCACCAACTGGAATCCACCAGGTGATTTTATATCCTTTCCATAAACTTTTATTGAATTAAGATAATAGTGTTTTGGATTTCCATGTCACATGTCTTTAAAGGGAACAGAGCACATTCACATGTAGCTAGCAGGCACTGTCATTCCTCTAAAATAAAATCTACCTGCAAGATGCTTTTGCCTTTGCCTAGTCCACCAAGATGTGGCTGGGCTCTGTAAGAAATTCTTTCATGCACAAAAGAATCCCCTCATAACAGTTACAGACACTTTAATTTTACTGTGTGATACAGCTTTATAACTCCTGTACGGCTTCATGAATTCCGGCTTTGAAGCCGCAACTTCTGAGATCCTCCTTTCTCCATTTAAACACCAGTTTCAAATATAATCTTTTTGAATATTTAAAAGATCAGAGGAACTGTTTAAACCCCTCTTTAAGACAGGAACATGATTGAGTGACAATCCCCCTCTTCAACAGACGCCCCAAACTATAAAAGAAGCTTCTTTTCATTATAAAAAAGAATTTATTATACACCATTCCAGTTACTCCAGTGAGCAATTTAGAAACTATAGTATTTTCTTCTTTCAGGTTTTGCCAGAAAGGGGGGAAATGTATTATGGAAGATGCTGCTAGCACAGTCATCAAAGGGCATAGAGCCAGGGTGTAAGTTTGAGTGCAGATGTATTATTCTTAAAGAGAGCACCGTTTTATTCTTTTTTTTTTTCAAGATTGATTTATTTATGTGAGAGAACAAGCAAGAGTGGGGGTGGGAGAGGGAGAGAGAGAATCTCAAGCAGACTGCACTGAATGCAGAGCCCAATGCAGGGTTGGATCTCACAACCCTGAGATCACAACCTGAGCTGAAACCAAGAGTCGGATGCCTAACCAACTGCACCACCCAGGCATCCCAAGAGAATGCCTTTTTAAATTTAAGATATAATTCACAGACTATAACATTCGCCTGTTTAAAATGTACAATTCAGTGGTTTCTAGTGTGGAGTTGTACAGATTACCACTAATTACCACTAATTCCAGAACATTTTAGCACCCCCCAAAGAAACCCCATACCCATTAGATGTCACTCCCCATCCACCCTTACCCCCAGACTCTGGCAATTACCAATCTATTTTCTGTCTCTACAGATTTGCCTATTATGGCCATTTCACATATGTGAAATCATAGAATATGTGGCCCTTGATGACTGGCCTCCTTCACTTGGTATTTCCATGCTGTAGTGTATGTCAGTACTTCATTCCTTTTTATATTGAGTGATATTCCATTGTATAGATCTACCACATTTTAGTTACCTGTTGTTCATCAGTTGATAGACATTTAGATTGTTTCCACTTTGGAGCTATTATGAATAGTGCTGTTATGAACATTCAAGTATAAGCCCTTGTGTGTCTGGGAGGCTCAGTGGTTAAGCATCTGCCTTTAGCTCAGGTCATGATCCTGGGGTCCTGGGATGGAGCCCCACATCAAGCTCCATCAGACTCCTAGAGCTGCTTCTCCCCCTCCCTCTGTGCTCTCTCTCTCTTAGTTGCTCTTGCAAGTAAATAAATAATATTTATTTTTTAAAAAAAAATTAACTGAGCAGGATCCCCAGGTGGCTCAGTGGTCGAGTGTCTGCCTTCGGCTCAGGGTGTGATCCTGGGTCCAAAATCCAGTCCTGCATCCTTATCCCTTTGCTCACGTCTCTGCCTCTCTCTGTGTGTCTCTCATGAATAAATATATAAAATATTTTTTAAAAAAATTAACTGAGCTCTTGAACCCTCATTTTTGCTAAAGATGGAAAACTTAATCTCACCAATCCAAAATAACTAGTCTCTTCTAATTTAAAAATCATGCCCTTAGGGGGCACCTGGGTGGCTTAGTCAGTTGAGCATCTGACTCTTGATTTTGGTTCAGGTTGTCATTTTGAGGTTGTGAGATCAAGTCCTGCACTCAGTGCACAGTCTCCCTGAGATTCTCTTTCCCCCCTCTGCCCTGCCCCTCACTTACATGTGCATGCTTGCTCGTGCTCTTTCTCTCTCAAATAAATCTTTAAAAATAAATAAATAAAAATCATGCCATTTTGAGTAGCCTCAGGTGAGCAAGCTTGGATCCTCAGGTGATCCAAGTGTCAGAGGCCACATAAAATATGCCCACCTGTCTGTCCTGGCCTTTGAGGGTGGGGCACACAGCCATGTCTGGGTCTCTTCTGATATCCTGGCAGCAGCCAGGCACATGCCCTCCTTATCCTCCTCTTCCCAACCCACTTAGCCTCCCCCAGAGGAGTGGGAGTGCTCTCTGAGAGCCATGCCCATGTCCCCTAGATCTCTAAGTTTTCACCTGAGTCCAGGCCTCAGGGCACTGCCGGGACTGCCTGGATTCTCCAGGAGGGTGAGGACACCAGGCTATACCTGGAAAAGGCAGGTAGTTGCAGTTTGCTCTCCAGTCCCGGACCTGAGACATCTACCCTCCCTCCACCTCCACCAGCCATTTGAAGTTTGCTCTGAGGCAGAATCACAGAACACTGGTCATCCCTTGGGGATCCCTTCCCTCGAAACTCCGGTCCTGTCCACTGCAAGTCTTCCTCCTTTCTTCTCTTTTGAGGCAGGAAAGAGTGTTTCCTTCCTCACTCATATTATGCTCTAGACCAGTGTTCTGGTCTCTGGACCAGCAGCCAGGTAGCATCGCCTGAGGGCTTACTAGGCGTATCCCAGGCTCCTCCCCGAGCCTGCTGAGGCCCAGGGAATCGGTGGGTCAGCCAGCCCCGGGGGCTCCCAGGCAGAGTTCAAGCGAAACCCTAGTTCCTGTGTCTTTCACCCTCCACGTCTGACACCTGAGAGTTGAAGCCAAGTGTGGGATTCAGAAGCCTTTCAAAACTTATCTCTGCTTTAAATATTCATAGGCCCACCTGAGAGCTAGCTCCAAACTCACCCTTTTTTTTTTTAACAGCCTGATTGAGAGATAATCGACTACAATCAACTGCACACAGGTAAAGTGTACCATTTGATAAGTTTTGACTTATGTATACATCTGGGAAACCATCGCCACAATCAAGATAATGATCACCACAAAGAGTTTCGTGTTCTGTCAGGATTTGCTTCTGGTTTTGATGGGTTTCTCCTTCCATGGCAGGACCAGCCTCAACTTCTATTTTCAGGGTGAAGGGCCGGGGTGGGGGTGGTGCGGGGCAGGGAGAGGGAGGAGCTGCCAGGAAAGAAAATCCACCAGATGAGAATTTAAAACACCATCTCACTACAGAGTCACTCTGCACCTCCTATTTCGGAGGGAAGACTAGATTCCGAGCACCATGCTGAGAATTAGGGGTGCCACAGGGAAGGGCACCCCCCCAGTCCTGAGCTCAGGTCTCGGGGGAGTCCATGCATTTGCTAAGCCCTGGGAGGGGGTTCCTCAGGGAGTGCTGGAGAGACTGACAGGAGAAAGCGGGGCGTTTACAGGGAGACCAGGAGGCTGGGCCTGAACTGACCAGGTGAGCCCCCAAGCAGGAACTGCCAGCGTGTGCGTGCCAGGCACCCCTCGAGCTGTTGGGCCCGAGAACCGAGGAGCAAGGCCAGTCGCCACGTCTCACCAGCTCGGAATCGGCCACCTCCCGACTTCAGCCTCCAGAGCTGAGAATGTGAGTGTGGGGACTTTGCTCCAGCGGCCCTACCGGCCACACGGAGGGTGACTCTGAACTCACTGTCAAGGTCAACGTGGTGCCCACTATGGGAGGGCCCTGTCGCTCCTGGGGGGGGGGGGGACACCGGGCTTTGTGAGACTGGGAGCCCCAGGGCCTTCCACCCAGCCTTCCTGGCTGCACCCCAGCCTCTCCCTGGGAGCCCTGTGGTGCGAACTATGGATCCCTCGGAGACATGGCCCGCTCCCAGCCTCAGCTCTCCCCAAGCTGGCTTCCCTACCCACCCTCCTTCCTCTTCCTCTCCGAGCAGGTTCTCCACTACTCCTCCTTCCATTGGCCTCTCTGTAAGATGCTCAGGCCTTTCCCGAGGAATCCCTGTCCTCTGGCCTCCTCGCGGACCCTGGAACAGGTGGGGTACAGCTAGCCTGTCACCCGGCTCGCGGGGCTCTTCCTCGGTTGCCTCCTGGGGCCCGGAGCTCCCAGGAGCCAGGAGAGAAGCCTGGGGGAGGGGATCTTCCACTTCAGCAGGAAGGTGGCACCCTTCCAGGAGGGTCTCCTTCATTCCTGCGCAGGCCCTGCGTCTGGAGGCCCGTGTCACCAGGCGAGGAGCAAGAGCCCCCGAGGGCGGGCGCAGCTGGACGCTCTCTTCCTCCTCCAGAGCCCGGCGTGGGCGGGGGGGGGGGGGGGGGGGGGGGCTGGAAACGTTGCGGGTTATTCATTCGAACGAGAGTGTTTGCTGAACTGAAATTCCTGCCGGACTTGGATGCAGGGCACGTGTCCGTATTCCTGTAAATCAGCGCGTTCAGGGGATCCCCGGGGGGCTCCGCGGTTTAGCGCCGCCTGCAGCCCAGGGCGTGACCCTGGGGTCCCGGGATCGAGTCCCGCGTCGCGCTCCCTGCGTGGAGCCTGCTTCTCCCTCTGCCTGTGTCTCTGCCTCTCTCTAGAATATATAAGTAAATAAAAATCTTAAAAATAAATAAGTCAGCGCGTTCAGGTATCTGTTTTTGGGGAGTAAAAACTAGTGCGATCCCAGAGAGATTCTCCGTGTCCGCAGGGCGCGCTCAGAGCTGGCCAGCGCCCCCCCCCCCGCCCCCCCCCCCAACAGCCGCCCCGCGTGTCTGCGTCTCCCTCCGCTTGATGGCGGCTCCTTTCTTTTTTTCTTTCTTTCTTTTCTTTCTTTCTTGTTGCCTATGCTGGTGTCCTCCGCTTTTATCTAACTCACGCCTTCCTAAGCATCACTACCGCTCCCACCCCCGCCCCCACTCACTTTCTAAAGGTTGTTTCCAAGCATCCCTCACCCAGCACAAGTTTGCATTTGCAGTAACCCTCCCCATTCACGTGAAGCAAGGCTGATGATTCCCCACCTGACTCACAGAGTCCTTTATTTTTTTTTTTTTTACGATTTTATTTATTCATGAGAGACAGAGTGACAGAGAGAGAGGCAGAGACACAGGCAGAGGGAGAAGCAGCCTCCATGCAGGGACCTTGATGCGGGACTCGATCCTGGGACCCCGGGATCACACCCGGAGCCCAAGGCGGATGCTCAACCGCTGAGCCCCCGGGTGCCCCACTCACAGAGTCCTTTAAGGGGATCTTTCTGATAATCTGACTTCCACCCCCCATTTTACCTAGAAGCAAGCCCACCCACCCCCCGCCCCCCAGTAAAGGAAAGGGCCCAGGAAGACCAAATGGCAGATGGGCTCCGCGCAACCAGCGCATCCCCGGGAGGGGCTCCCGCAACAGGCTTTGCCAGGCCCTGCCACAGGTACGGCTGAATCAACGGACGGACGGCCTAGAGCACCACCCCGGCCTAGAGCACCACCCCGGGTGGGGTCCCACAAACAGTAAGCCCAGGTTCCTGAGCAAGGGACTCATTAGGCAGGTGCTCCCAGGAGACGCTGGAGGGGGTGGGGACGGGGCAGGGAAGGTGAGGAAGCCACAGGAGGGGGCCACCTCAGGCAGGCTGTGGAGCTAAGTCATTGGGTCTCTGCCCCCCCCCCCCCCCCCCCCGCAAAGGAGCGAGCCGGCCTGGCCCAGGGGATAGAAACTCCTCCCACGCGGAGGCACATCCATTTTTTCTACTCTGTGGTATGTTCCACTGTGAGTAGAGAAGACACACGTTCAGCTCTCTCTGAATTTGGTAAAGGGCCCCGATGGCCTCGGGACAGCCCCCTGAAGAATGGCGCAGCTGTCCGATGTTAGCAGTAAATCACACAGAACCTGCATGCACAGTCGGTTGCTGGGATCCAAGGAGCTTGGCTGGGTCACCAGCAGGATCACTGTAGTCACCACTGTGGGCCCGCCTTGTTCCAGGTGATTCCAGGCACTGGTCACTTAAGCCACACAACAACAACAGAAACGAGGGCACTGAGAAGTTAAATCACCCCCAAAATGTTCAGCTGGAAAGTGTCGGGAGGGTTTCCCAGACCTCCAGTCTAGACTGTCATCAGCCTCTGGCAACTCAGCAAGTCTCAGGACCATGTAGAGCATGACCCTTTGGTAAAAGAAAGCAAACAGACCTATTTATTTGTGTGTACATGTGCGTAGGGAGAAGATAACCAAACAGTACTATCTTATACAAAAGAATACGTGTGTGTTTACAAAATTCTATTTAAATGAAGTTCTATAACAGGTGAAAATAATCTAATATATGGTAGGAGAATATCAGAACAATGGTTGCCTGAAAAGGAAGGTAGGTGCTTTGTGGGTTTGATATTTGTGTTTGGTTTCTTACTTTTGTCCAAACCATCAATGCACTTAAAAATTGTGTATTTCATTGGAAATAGATTTTACCTTAACAGACAAAAAAAATGTAAACAAATATTAAACTCTAGTTCATGAGCGCCTGGGTGGCTCAGTGGTTGAGTGTTTGCCTTCAGTCCAGGTTGTGATCCCAGGGACCTGGGATCGAGTCCTCCACATCAGACTCCCCATGGGGAGCCCGCTTCTCCCTCTGCCTGTGTTTCTGCCTCTCTCTGTGTGTCTCATGAATAAATAAATAATCTTTAAAAAATTTTTAAAAATAAACTCTAGCTCATGATTTCTATGCTGAGGTATTAGGCGGAAGTACTGAAGAGGAAGTAGGAGGGGAAATTGCTGCTGTCTGCAATCTGCTCTGAAATACATACTAAAAAGAAAAAAGGTGGATTGATGGATGGATAGAGGCATGGAAGATTGGGCAGATGTGTGATAAAGCACAATAGTAAAATGTAAATTATAGAATCTGGATTGAACATACAGGTAGTCACTGCAAAATTATTATTTCTATATATTCGAAATTTTTCATAAAAACATGTTGGGGGAAAAATGAAGAAATTATGGAGGAGATTATGAGTGGATGAAAGGGGACTTTATTTTACCCTAATTTGCTTCTTAATTGTTTCATTAAGCATGTACTATTTTTTGTAACAATTTAATTTAAGAACCTAATAAAAAGTGATATAAAATATGGTCTTTCCCTTGTGGAGTTTATGGGAAGTGTGATGGTAAATTTAAGACACACACACACACACACAGGCACATCTTTCATTAGATGGTTGTTGCCAATAAAAATGGCATTAATAATGCACGTGAATTGGTGACCCACAATGGAAGGTTAAGTGTGCTTTGGTCCTACTCTGTCATCAGCTGGCATGGTGAGCTGGGCCTCAGTGCCATAGGGTGGGAAACAAGGGGACCGATTTGGGTGTTTTGGGGTTCCTTCCAAAACTGCTCAAGACATTCCTAGGAGATGTTTGTATGAATGGTGTCTGTATCATTTGAAGAGCTCAGAGGAGGAAAACCATCACTCAAGGAATACAGGAGATTTATAGAGTTACACTTCAAAAAATAAAATGTAATGTTTGGAAGCCAAAACCTAAGGAGGATTATGCTCTGGGATTACTGTGCAAACAGATTCTTCGCGGTCGTGCCAGCTGAGGAAATCTTACATCACTCTGTGGTCCCATGTGATTGTGTCTTATTGTGGTTCTGTAAGTGGGGTGGGTAAACTAGAACCAACCACCTTTTTTGTAAATAAAGTTTTATTGGAATACAACTGTGGTCACTTGCTTCTGGATCATCTCTGTCTGCTTCCGGATGACAGTGGCAGAACTGAATAGTTACGACAAAAATAACCTGGCCTGTGAAGCCTAAAATATTTACGCTCTGGCCTTTTCCAGAAAGCTTGCCAACTGCTGCTCTAAACGTTCACTTCCCTTCCGGTAGAATCGGCGTTGAATTCCTTCCTTCCTTCCTTCCTTCCTTCCTTCCTTCCTTCCTTCCTTCCTTCCTTCCTTCCTTCCTTCCTTCCTTTTTAAGATTTTATTTATTTATTCATGAGAGGCACAGAGAGAGAGAGAGCCAGAGAGACAGGCAGAGGGAGAAGCAGGCTCCCTATGGGGATCATGATGATGCACGACTTGATCCCAGGACCTGGGATCATGACCTGAGCCAAGGCAGATTGTCAACCACTGAGCCACCCAGACGCCCCTTGATATTTCTTTCTTAGCGGGTAAGGGGAAGAGGTCGGCTGCTTCTTTCCCAACCATTCTTTCCCTTTCTCCATTTTAAGACTTTTCTCCAGTTGGCTGCTTTCATGATGGCCAGGGCTTTGAAAGCGAAGAAATTGCCTCGGTGGCTGGGAATTCCATTAGCGACTTTCGGCCGGCCAGGTGCGTCAGCGGGGGGCGGGACGCGGGGAGCTGGAGGCCACCAGGGGTGAGGCCACCAGGGGTGAGGCCACCAGGGGTGCGGCCCGAGGAGCGCCCGCGGGCCCCAGCAGGACCTAGTGCCTGTCCCCGCTGCGCGACTGCCCCCGCTCCGCACGGAGACTCGGCCCAGGACTGCGGCCCGCCCCGGAGAGCAGGTGTTAGGGAAGACCAAGGCCTCCCCTTCCACGTTACCCCCTTTAAAATAAAGATGAAGCACAGAGATTTGTCCGTGTGCCGCCAGGGGGGACGAGGACCATCGTGCTGAGGCTCCTGGGGCCGGCGTTCCTAAGTCTGTCCTCTCTCCTTGATCCCCCTCTCAGGCCCCGTAGGCGGGGGAAGCCTAGGGAGGTGTTGGTCGGGGCACCACCTGCGCTGGAGGAGCTGCAGGGGAGTGGCTGTCCCCTTCGTCTTCAGTCTCCATCTCGAGCCTTCC